AATTTTTTAACAACTGGTCTGTGGGCATGGCTTTGGTGGTGGGTGTAGCTTGGTGGTCATGTGACTAGGTGGACATGGCTTGGTGATCATATTATTGGCTGGGTGTGGCCAACTCAATATCACATCGAGGTATGCATCTGCTCGCCTGGCCTCTCATGACTGTGGGGAGGCTGCAACAGTGTGAAAAATGGTCATAAGTCACTTTTTTCAGTGCCATTGTAACTTTGAATGGTCCCTCCACACAAGCAAAGTACCAGCAAAGGAGGAGAAAAAAACTCCAGAGAAGTTCCTGAGACAGGAAGTCTAATCCTGCCAAGAATGTAATAAGTGTTAACGGAGAGGCAGTTTCTGTAAGCAACACCAGAATGTTTCCTTCCTGCCTTCCTTACAGGATTAGTCCAGTAATTTCTTCTAACAACCGGTTCTCCGGCTTAGAATGTTAATAACCGGTTCTAGCAAATCGGTGGGAACTGGTAGAATCCCACCCCTGGTTGTAAGTCTATTGCAAAGTGCCCCCAGTGTTGATCATATGACCATGGGGATGCTGTAGCAGTCATAAGTGCGAGGATGGGTCATAAGTCACTTTTTCCAATGGCAATGTAACTTTGAATGGATATAAGTTGAGGATTACTTAGAGGGACATTGTTACTTTCCTGCCTATGATTGGGGCAAGATCGCATGTGGACCTCGTAGGACTCTGGACTGAACAGGCCTTTGCCTGAATCCTCTGTAGGGTTTGGAGATCTTTTGGGAAGCCTCATGAAAGCTGCCTGAAGTACCTCGGACTGTGGAACCTGGAACCTGGTGGAGAATATAAAAAGGAAGCTGGTCTCTATCTTCTGCTGCCTGCAGTTAAGCAATCTCATTTTGCAACTTGGGAAGCTCCAGCTCACTTGGAGGTGGGGAAAACCTCTGATATAATTTACCGTATTCTCTGCATGGATTGCCCCTGTGACTCTGTTGGACAGACGGGGAGAAAGCTACCCACCAGATTGCAAGAACATGAGCGAGCAATTAGACAAGTCAACTCAAACTCATTGGGAGCTTCACATTAGTACGAACAAGGATACACATTCAATGTTGCAGCTACTAAGATTGTTGGCTGAGCAGGGACAAAAATAGCCAGGAAAATGACTGAAGCCTGGGAAACAGGGGCCCTTGTCAGTCAACAGGAGTGCTAATTTACCACCAGCATTCCAGGTACTTTGGAGCTGAGGGAACAGCAGCACGAGAAACAACAACAAACAACTTAATAGCCGGCCATCAACACTCCAATTAACAACTATAAAAAAGATGTTGAGACTCTAGCAAGAGTGCAGTGAAGAGCAATAAAGATGATTAGGGGACTGGAGGCTAAAACATATGATGATGAACGGTTGCAGGAACTAGGCATAGCTAATCTAATGAAGAGAAGGACCAGGGGAGACAGGAGAGCAGTCTTCCAATATTTGAGGGGCTGCCACAGAGAGGAGCAAGGGCTCAAGCTATTTTCTAAAGTGCCTGTAGGCCAGACAAGGAATAATGGATGGCAACCGAACAAGGAGAGAATCAACCAGGAAATAAGGAAAAACTTTCTGACAGTGAGAACAATCAAGCAATGGAACAGAAGCTGCCTTTGGATGTTGTGGGAGTTTCATCACTGGAAGCTTTCAAGAGACTGAACTGTCATCTGTCAGAAATGGCGTAGGATCTACTTGGGCAGACGGTTGGACTAGGTGACCTACAAGGTCCCTTCCAACTCGGTTAATCTGTATCTGTATCCTGTAACTAAAAGCCACACACAACCAGGCACACATAACTACTATGCACAGAACAGTCTAGTGTCCACATATATAGAGAGAAATTCCCTGGGGAAGAATTCCAGCACAAGTCCAAAAGCTTGGAAAACTAAATTTTTGGTCCTGATGATGGACTCGGATTGGATTCTGCAATATTATCCTGGGACATGTATATTTGCCTTCACTTAGGAAATAGATACCTTAACAAATATAGAACTTGTCTTTATTGATATAGGGCAGTGTTTCTCAACCTTGGCAACTATAAAATGTCTGGACTTCAACTATTGTAATTGACCGATGGGGATTTCATCAATCCCGATGGTTTTCAAGTGGTATTCCCCAATGTTTCGGGATTGGACCCAAGGCGCCTAACAGGGTTATTTTGTATTCTTTTGTCACATTCTTATTTATTATATTACATCATTATTATTAATTTGTTGATTGTGATAATCCTTCTTCTTGACCTCGGTGGGCTTGGTGTTGTGAACCAGCAGTGTGCAGTAGCAGCCAAAAAAGTTAATGCAATCCTGCATTAGCTAAGTTGCATTAACAGAGGAATACAATCAAGATCAAGTGAGGTACTAATACCACCCTATAAAGCCTTAGTAAGGTCACACCTAGAGTACTGCATCCAGTCACCACATTATAAAAAAGATGTTGAGACTCTAACTACAGAGAAGAGCAACCAGGATGATTAGGGGACTGGAGACTAAAACATATGAAGAACGGTTGCTGGGCATGGCTGGTCTAGTGAAGAGAAGGACCAGGGGAGACATGACAGTGGTCTTCCAATATTTGAGGGGCTGCCACAGAGAGGAAGGGGTCAAGCTGTTTTCTAAAGTGCCTGTAGGCCAGACAAGGAATAATGGATGGAAACTGAACAAGGAGAGATTTAACCTGGAAATAAGGAGAAACTTTCTGACAGTGAGAACAATCAACCCATGGAACAGAAGTTGCCCTTGGGAGTTGTGAGAGCACCATCACTTAAGACTTTCAAGAAGAGATTCGACTCCCATCTGTCAGAAATGGTGTAGGGTCTCCTGCTTGGGCAGAGGGTTGGACTAGATGACCTATAAAGTTCCTTCCAATTCTGATTATCTGTAATCTATTGTCTTCCTTCAAACACCCGGGCATCCTTTAGGATGACAACATCAGCAAGTCAAGGAGTGAGTGAAGAAGATCTTAAAGTCTAAACTCAGTGGAGGAAATGCCATCAAGGCAATTCACCCCGGGCAATTCCAGTCATTAGATTCATGGCCAGAATAGTGGGCTGGACTGAAGCAGTTGTGGTATGCTACCGGTTCAGATTGGTTCACCTGAACTGGTAGTAAAAAAAGCCTCCCTCGATCAGCTGAGAGGAGAAAGAAGAGAAAAGCCAGGATAGGCCCTCCCACCTGTCCCTGTGCTTTTGTCTTCTTTATCCTCTCAGCTGATTGGTGCTATAGGTCTTAGCTGGTGTGGGGAAAGCTGTGCGCGTTCATTAGTTGCACACAAATTAGGTGTGTGCGCACACGTGAGCAATCACTGAACTGGTAGTAGAACAGGTAGGATCAGGGGTGGGATTCTACCAGTTTGTACCTATTCGCTAGAACTGGTTGTTAGCATTCTAAGCAGTTCAGAGAACTGGTTGTTAGAAGAAACTACTGGCCTAATCCTGTAAGGAAGGCAGGAAGGAAACATTCTGGTGTTGCTTACAGAAACTGCCTCTCGGTTAACCCTTATTACATTCTTAGCAGGACTAGACTTCCTGTCTCAGGAGCTTCTCTGGAGTTTTTTTCCCCTCCTTTGCTGGTACTTTGCTTGCGTGAAGTGACCATTTAAAGTTACAATGGCACTGAAAAAAGTGACTTGTAACCATTTTTCACACTTATGACTGTTCCAGCATTCCCACAGTCATGAGAGGCCAGGCGAGGAGATGCGTGCCTAGATGTGAGTGATATTGAGTTGGCCACGCCCAGCCATTCACATGACCACCAAGCCATGTCCACCCAGTCACATGACCACACCTACCACCTAAGCCACGCCCACAGAACCGTTTGTTAAAAAAATTGAATCCCACCCATGGGTAAGATCTCACTGCTGGACTGAAGCAGAACTAAAAAGAGAGGATAGGAAGACCAGAAAAAATAATGACAATGAATCACACCCTTCATTCAGCAATGACATTGATGAGGACTATACCAAGGAACATAGGTGGGCGTGGAATGTTGCAAGAACACCAGACAGTTGAAGAAGAAAAAAAAAAGGGTATTGGAAAGGCAGCGAAGGAGATGCACTGAAGCTAGTTATATCAGGCATGCTTACTGAATACCAAAGAGGCCAAACTGACCTACAGAATGACAAAATAAACAACAGCAAAAAAAGACACAAAAGGCAAAGTATTGCATGGCCAAGATGTGTTTTTTTTTTAAAGCCTATCAAGTAAAGTAGATAATAACAAGACCTGGCAATGGCTAAGAGCAGGAAATTTGAAGAAACAAACCGAGGGGGCTAATTCTGGCTGTTCAAGCCTTAGGAACAATGCATGCAAGGCCAGAATAGGGGAAAATGTTCTGTATTAACATTCTTGAAGACTCGCTTTCTGATTGGTTCACCCGGATCGCAACGTGATTGGTTGACTGAACTCCTGTGATTGGAGCGCTGAGAAACTGCCGCGATTGGCCGAGCCAATTGCGGGAGATTCAAAGCGCTGCCATTGGCCGCCGAGCCGCCGGCCGGCTGTATAAAGCCAAGCGGCTCGCAAGCCTTTTCGGTTCCTATCTTAAACTTACAATAAAGAGCTGAATGTTCACTCCTGTGTCTCGCCTCTTAATGTGAACCGATCGACCCGATCTAACAGAAAGATAGCAACAGAAGGCAAGTGCCACCATTGCAAAGAAGCTGAAGAAACAGTTGAGTGTGTGTTTCTTCCAGGGCGGGGCTGGGGGTGGGGAACTGTGGCCCTTTCACGACTTGTGGACTTCAATCCCCATGCTGGCTCAGGAATTCTGGGAGTTGAAGTCCACAAGTCATCAAAGGGCCACAGTTCCCCACCTCCTTTCTAGGGAATTAGACTAGGGAACCAGGGAAGATAGGCAAGAGTGGGGTTCAAAAATGGCTGGGTGGGTGTGGCCATGGTGGGCGTGGCCTTTTGGAACTTCCGGGAGGGCTGTTTTTTGTGAAAATGGCCTTCTCCAGGCTCTGGAGGCCTTCTGGAGGCCTTCTGGAAGCCGGAAACAAGCCAGTTTCTGGACTTCTTCTGGAAAGCCCATTTTCCTCCCTCCCAGAGCCTCTGCGTGAACCCTGCACTTACCTGTATCCAAAAGGGGCTGCATGGAGACTCGTGGGAGGGGTTGGAGGGGCCAGCCGGTCTGTTCAAATACTGGTTCAACGAACCAGTTGCAAATTTAACATCCGGTTCGCGTGAACCGGTCTGAACCGTTAGAATCTCACCCCTGGAGATAGGATAGCAGGGTATTTGAAGGGCTGCCAACCAAGAGGAAGAAGGCAAACTATTTCCCAAAGCACCAGAAGGCAGGACAAGAATCAATGGATAGAAAGTAATAAATGAGAGAATTAACCTGGAATTAAGGAGACGTTTCCTAACGGTGAGAACAGTGGAATGGCTTGCCTACAGAATGGCTTGCCTTCCGAAGTTGTAGATGCCCCATTACTGGAGACTTTTAAGAAAAGACTAGACAGCTATTTGTCTAAAATGGCTATGTAGACGCTCCTGCTCAAGCAGGGGGTTGGATTGGATGACCACCAAGATCCCTTTCAACTCTTGTTATTCTTAGGCTCTAATGTTCTTTGTACCTGATTAGCTGTTGGAAGAAGATCTAACAGACAGGATACAAACAGCAGCATGACAAAATAGCAATATTGGTGCATTGGAAGATTTGCAAAAAAATACCATTTTGCCAGTAAGCCAGAACTGGTGGGGCTATAAAATAGAGCCAGTAATATAAAATAAAGACGCTAAAGCGCTCCACGACTTTGGAATTCAAACAGGTAAGCATCTCCCACATAACACCTCAGACTTAACCATTGTCACTAAGAAAGACAAAGTCTGCAAAGTGGACCGGGGCAGTATCTGGAGACAGCAAAAGACAAGAGAAAGAATTGGAGAAAATCACAAAATACAAAGACCTGATAATAGAAATAGAACAACTGTGGCATAAGAAAGCAAAGATCGGCATTGACAAAACCCCTATCAGTCAATTGCATAGGTAGCTTTACTTGAAGCAGCTTACATCCTGTGACAAATGTTATTTAATATTCTTAAATAACAATATCCCAGGTCCTTGGGAAGGACTGGATGGGTGAATAAAAGTGCCAAATCCAGTTTGAACATCTGAGTGTGTCACGAACCACAATAATAATAATAATAATACAATCCCAATAATTCAGTGATGCATACTTTGGAATCAAAAAGCATAAGTTTATTCAGCTTAAGTAATCAAAGAAACCATTACTGCAATTTTTAAAATGTGAACAACACAAAAAAAACCCCAACCCACAGCAGCCTACAAAAGGCACGTTTTCGTAATCGCTGCTCCTTTAACAACAGTTACTGTTTTGTTTTTATTTTCTTGATAGCGTGGACGTTTCCGTCAGCAGAGCCTTTTAAGTAGACAGAAAAAAAGGCAAACTCATTTCATAAACCAACAATGGTTTAGACCACAAGAGATAGCTGGCTCTTGTTTACAAAACTAGTGATGTTTGCTCGGCCCGGTATTTCAGTCTGAATGGGGCCCAGGAACTTAGAGCAGTGCACCTGTTGCAGATTTTTAAGATTTTTAAAATCTGCGTAGGCCGAATTGTGTTGGTGGGTGTGAGAATGCACGTGGGCGGATGTGCTCTTTCTCCTCTTCTGAAAGCAGAAGGAAGAATAGCCAGTAGCAAGAAAACAGAAGAACAGCCATTCCTGTCAATGGTGGGTGACTCTTTCTCTCAAGTAGCTTTTGGGCCAGAGGTCAAGACCTCACCCAAAAATAAGGGGAACAAGATTACCACATGTCAGAAGAAGTGAAGCAACAAACCTTACCATCTAAGTATACTACTCATTTGAAAGAATACTGAGAACTAATACTAACACCACCCTATAAAGCCTTAGTAAGACCACACCTAGAATCCTGCACCAAGTTTTAGTCACCATGCTATAAAAAAGAGGTAGAGACTTTAGAAAAAGTGCAGAGAAGAGCAACCAGGATGATTAAGGGACTGGAGACTAAAACATATGATGAACGGTTGCAGGAACTGGGCCTGGCTAGTCTGGGGAAGAGAAGGACCAGGGGAGACAGGAGAGCAGCCTTCTAGTATTTGAGGGGCTGCCACAGAGAGGAAGGGGAATCAAACTATTTTGCAAAGCACCCGAAGGCCAGACAAGGAATAATGGATGGAAACTGAACTAGGAGAGATTTAACCTGGAAAGAAGGTGAAATTTTCTGACAGTGAGGACAATCAACCGATGGAACAGAAGTTGCCTTCGGAAGTTGTGGGAGCGCCATCACTTGAGACATTCAAGAAGAGATTGGACTGCCATTTGTCAGAAATGGTGTAGGGTCTCCTGCTTGGGCGGGGGGTTGGACTAGATGACCTACAAGGTCCCTTCCAACTCTGTCAACCTGTAAACATCGGCAACCATAGAATAAGAGGTAATTTTGTACTCGTGTAATGTAATGGCTGTGAGAGTTGGACCATAAAGAAGCCTGAGTGTCGAAGAATTGATGCTATCGAATTGTGGTGTTGGAGAAGGCTCTGGAAAGTCTCTTGGACTGCAAGGAGATCCAGTCAGTCAGTCCTAAAGGAAATCCATCTTGGTTGATCTTTGGAAGGACAGATACTGAAGTTGAAGCTCAAATACTTTGGCCCTCCAACGAGAAGAGCAAACTCACTGGAAAAGGCTGTGATTTTGGGAAAGATTGAAGGCAAAAGGATGAAGACAGAACAGGACAGAACAAAATAGAATAGAATTCTTTATTAGCCAAGTGTGATTGGATCCATACAAGGAATTTGTCCCCAGTGCATAAGCTCTCAGTGTCGCACGCAAGCAACAAGTGATAAATCATGATCATAACCATAAAATACATCCACAAATCATAAGATACAACACTCAGTGATAGTCACAAGATACTAAATAAAGCAACATAAATCATAGGATACAAACAACAAATTATAGTCATGCTAAAGGAATAGATAACAGGAAAGATGAGAAGGATAATAGTAATGATAATGGTTATTATTGGTTAGATGGTGTCAGCGTGACTTTTGCCCCATTCTTGTCCTATTTGTGAAGTGAATCACTGCAGTTGTTAAATGAGTAACAGTGGTTATTAAGTGAATCTGGCTTCCCCATTGACCTTTCTTGTCAAGAAGATTGTAAAATATGATCACATGACCCTGGGATACGGCAACCGTCATAAATATGAACCAGTTGTCAACCATCCGATGTAAGTCACATGACCATGGGGATGCTGCAACGGTCGTAAGTGTGAAAAAAATGGTCCTAAGCTGCTTTTTTCAGCGATGTAACTCTGAACAGTCAGTAAAGGTAAGTCGAGGACGACCTGTCCTCCATGGCAACCTGAAGAGTTAGACACGATTTAAAGACTGAACAACTTATAATTATAGGTAAGTCCTTGACTTACAACCATTTGTTTAGTGACCATTCAAAATTAAAAGAGCACTGAAAAAAAAGTGATTTGCAACCATCCTTGCACTTACGACCGTCGCAGCCTTCTCCATGGTCATGTGATCATAACTCAAGTGATGGTCACAGCACATCCTGGGGTCCTCACATGACCTCCTTTTGTGACCTTCCCAAATGGCTTCCAACTAGAAAAATCAGTGGGGGAAGCCAGGCTTGCTTAAGGACCACTTGATTCACTTAAAACTGCAGAGATTCACTTAATGACTGTGGCGAATAAGGTTATAAACTCAGCTGTGACTTATCTAACAACCACCTTACTTAGCGATGGAAATGCTGGACCCAGTCATGGTCATAAGTTGAGGATTACCATCCTCTAAAGAAAATTGGAAATCATTTCTTTCTGTTTCTTTCCATTCTCTCTTTTTGCATGTTCGCCTTTTTCTTTTCTTTATTTATGTTATATTTCTTTTTCTTAGTTTTTAATCTCCTTTTTAATTTTTTTAAAAATAAAATAAAATAAATAAACAAGGAAAGAAAGTCAAAAGAAGGGAAGGAAGCGAAGGGAAGAAAGAAAGAAAGTGGGAGAGGGAAGGAAGAGAAAGGAAAGAAGAGAAGGAAGAAAGGAAGAAAAAGAAAGAAAAAGGAAGGAGGAAGGAAGGAAGAGAAAGGAAGGAAAAGAAGGAGAGAAGGAAGAGAGAGAGAAAGAAAGAAAAAGAAGGGAGGAAGAAAGGAAGAGAAAGGAAGAAAGAAAGAAAAAGAAGGGAGGAAGGAAGGAAGGAAGGAGAGAAGAAAGGTAGGGAAGGAACAGAAAGGAAGGAAGAAAGAAAAAGAGGGGAGGGCGAGAGGAAAGGAAGGAAAAGAAAGGAAAGAAGAGAAGGAAGAAAGGAAGAAAAAGAAGGAAAGAAAGAAAAAGGAAGGAGAGAAGGAAGGAAGGAAGGAAGGAAGAGAAAGGAAAAGAGGAGGAAGAAGAAAAAGAAGGAAAGAAAGAAAGAAAAAGGAAGGAGAGAAGGAAGGAAGAGAAAGGAAGGAAAAGAAGGAGAGAAGGAAGGAAGAGAGAAAGAAAGAAAGAGAAGGGAGGGAGGAAGGAAAGAACGAGAGAAGGAAGGAAGGAAGAGAAAGGAAGGAAGGAGAGAGGGAAGGAAGAGAAAGGAAGAAAGAAAGAAAAAGAAGAAGGGAGGGAGGAAGGAAGGACCATTAAATCCGGAGTTCAACATTATCCAACTACACCCTGCCCTGCCTCAGTTTCCTCTCTGATGCTTTTCTGATGTTTGCTGGGTGCCCCCCCTCCCCCACATCCCTTCAGGTTTCTGGCCCAATCATTTTTGTGGCTCAATCCTTTGGACAATTGCAAGGGAGAAAGCAGAGAAAACGAAACACTGAAAACCCCCTGCAGTGAGCTGCTTTAAGTGCTGCTGACTGAGGCGGTTCAGAAGGCAGGCCCGAGGAGGATCGCGCTTGCACGAAGAGGTGGCAGTTTGGGGTTTCCTGCTGCTGCCCCCCCCACCCGGCCCCACGAGGACTTCCCAGCTCTTGCAGAAAGCGCCTTTGAGCCTCCGCAGGCCTTTCGCAAGCAGCCGAGTCTGAGGGAACCGGAGTCGTCTGAG